GGTTCAGGTGCAACCCGTCCGGCTTGAACAGGTCCCACCTGTTCCAGAAGGTCTTCCAGTGCCCCATAAACCTGAACCCCAAGTTCTTCCTCCATTTCTTAGCATTCCTTGATTAAATGTCTCCTTATGGGCTCTATTTTGACAATGTACTGCAAAGTACAAGTAACATTTACAGTATGGGTGTGTCCAAATCCATTTCAGAAAAAAAAGACTTTGCGCAAAAAGGTTATCCTAACTCTCTTAAATATGCAGAGGTGTGTTTTGGGCATATCCATACAATGAACCAATGGGAATGGCACGTCACCTCACCTTTAAAAGGCGCAAGATCTGTGGCAGATTGCTCTTACAATGGCACATTTGCCCAGCAAACCAGATCACTTTTTGCCCGAGAAAATGGTCGTACTCGTGCACGAGGTCAAACGGTTTGAGCACATCATCTACAAGAGCACCACTGTTCCACCTACAGTAAGCCTTTCAAGGTGAAGCAGGCGTGGGATGAAGTTGCAGCGAGTGCACTTCATTTTCTGGCAGCACCAGATCTTCCACGCAGTTCCAAAAGCGGTATAATGATGCCAGAAGACTGGGAACACAGATGCTCCCTGAACAAGCACAGCAGCTGGGAACAAAGACTTAATTACGTACTTGTGTGTTTTTTTTTTTTTATGATTTTAATTTTGGGTTAGCAGTTCTCAATACAAAGTGCAATCATTGTTCAAACAAAACAGAACCTACAGTTTAAGGTGTGTTAGAATGTTCAAATAAAAGGCAATAGGGTTAATATTTTTCTACATCTCAATTTAGATTCCTTACCAGGCTATAGATCAGGGTTCTTCAACTCTGGACCTCGATTCCAAATCCAGGCCATGTTTTCAGTTCTCCCAAGTAGTTGTTTAATAATGACTGATTCTGATTGGTCAGAAGCTTCACACCTGACTGACAGGTAAAGGAAGGCTGGAAAACCAGCAGTGCTCGGACCTCGAGGACCGTGAGTTGAATAACCCTGCTATAGATGATCGATTCAGCTCTTCTGCCAGCTGATCCCTCCTTGCCTGTGCTGCTGCTGGCATACACTCCTTTGTTGGCCCTTTTTAAAAAAAAATTTTTTTTTAAATGATGCGGTTTATTCTTTACTTAAGATATATATTTTTTCATTTGTTTCATTTAACAGTATCATTACATGAAATGACTAATTGTACTTTATGTAAATAAAATAAGAAATCATTAGTGCATCTCGATGACATACTTGTGGGCATAACGTGTGACGTGCACCTGCACGTGTCTGAAACACGCTGCCAAAATACTGTTTAATAATGCGGCACTAACTTTAGACGTTGTATTTGTTGGTCAAAAGTGCAATGTCATTTCACTGCCTTAAAGTATCAACACGCCGACAATGCACCCAGCCATGCCTCATATAGAAAAACACCATTACTATGAGTGGAAAGCAGGTGCAAAGTAACTTGCGGGTACCAACAGACACGCATGATGTGAAAATGAGCAATGCGCAGGTACGAGACTAGCAAGACCACTTTGCATCATGCTTTGCTCTGTTGGATAATATGTGTTCCTGCTAATCTCTGGAACTTTTAGTTTTATTTAGTTGGGCTTATATTTTCCCATTTCCATTGCCTTTTTCTCCTCTTCGGTCCTTAAAATGAAAGATAGCTAGTTTTCTTTCCTGATTTTTTTGTTTGCAATTTTTTCAATATCAGCATAGTATCATTAATAACTCAATTTGTTCTTCACCTAAATTGCATATTCATATATATTACTGTTGAGCTTATGTCTAGTTGGTCTGACAGCTTTATCTGTTTTCTTTAATTTTGCTCTGTGATGAATCACAGGAAAAAAACAGATTTCATATAGCTTTTCCATGTTTCATTGCATACATTGCCAAAAGTATTGGGACACACCCATCTAAATAATTGAATTCAGGTGTTCCAATCACTTCCATAGCCACAGGTGTATAAAATCAAGCACCTAGGCATGCAGACTGCTTCTACAAATATCTGTGAAAGAATGGGTCACTCAAGAGCTCAGTGAATTTAAGCTTGGCACCATGAGAGGATGCCACCTGTGCAATAAGTCCATTCATGAAATTTCCTCGCTACTAAATATTCCACGGTCAACTGATAGTGGTATTATAACAAAGTGTAAGCAATTGGGAACAACAGCAACTCAGCCACAAAGTGATAGGCCAGATAAAATCACAGAGTGGGGACAACACATGCTGAGGAACACTGTGCAGAAGTCACCAAGTGTCTGCAGAGTCATTACACACTTCACTACAGACCTCCAAACTTCATGTGGCCTTCAGATTAGCTCAAGAACAGTGCGTAGAGAACTTCATGGAATGCGTTTCCATGGCTGAGCAGCTGCATCCAAGCCTTACATCACCAAGTGCAATGTAATGTAATGTAATGCAATGCAATGCAAAGCATCAGATGCAGTGGTGTAAAGCACGCCGCCACTGGACTTGGAAACGTGTTCTCTGGAGTGACGAATCACACTTCTCTGTCTGGCAATCCGATGGATGAGTCTGGGATTGGAGGTTGCCAGGAGAATGGTACTTGTCTGACTGCATTGCGCCAAGGGTAAAGTTTGGTGGAGGGGGGATTATGATGTGGGGTTGTTTTTGAGGGGATGGGCTTGGCCCCATAGTTCCAGTGAAATTAACTGTGAATGCTGCAGCTTTCAAAACCATTTTGGACAATTTCATGATCCCAACTTTGTGGGAACAGTTTGGGGATGGCCCTTCCTGTTTCATCATAACTGCACACCACTGCACTAAGCAAGGTCCATAAGGACATGGATGAGTGAGTCTGGTGTGGAGGAACTTGACTGGCCTGCCCAGAGCCCTGACTTCAACCCAGTAGAACACCTTTGGGATGAATTAGAGTGGAGACTGTGAGCCAGGCCTTCACGTCCAACATCAATACCTGACCACACGGAATGCTCAAAAATTCCCACAAACACACTCCTAAACCTTGTGGACGGCCTTCCCAGAAGAGTTGAAGCTGTTATAGCTACAAAGGGTGGGCCAACATATTAAAGCCTATGTATTAAGAATGGGATGTTATTAAAATTCATATGTGTGTAAAGCAGGTGTCCCAATACTTTTGGCAATATAATGCTGGTACTGACCATTTGGTGATATGCTTGTCATAGCCTGTTGAAAAAGACTTTTTGCCAAGTGAGTCATCTTAGCAGAATTCTGCTTGTCTGTGACTTCCAAGGTCCTAACCAAAACCCAGTTACTCAAAATGTTTTGAATGCTAACTTCAGCATTCAGATTCTCTTAAAACTGGTCAGCTTCAGCCTTTTTGGATTGTGTGGTTGGAGCATAAATTTAGATCACTGCAATTTTGAATGGCATGAATTGGAGTTTGACTGAGATTTTGTTTTGGATTGTAGGCAAGCACAGATTTTGCAACCCTTTATTTGACGATGAGGGCTACTCATTTTCTTCAGCAGAATTTGTGTCTATAACAGAATATCTTTATTTAATTCAGGAATGACACACTATGGAGTTCACTTGAAGAACCACCAATTCTCAACACTAAAGAATTTGAGGACCTTTTCTCCAAGAACATAATGCAGCCAAAGAAGAAATCACTGCGTAAGAGCTATGAAGAGGGTCCCAAGGTGAAAAAGGTAACTAAAATGTATTTTTGCTGCATCCACCAGCCTAAATTCATATTTATGCTGTCCCAAATCTATTATAACAAAAGCCACGGATAGGTAGATTAGGAGGGCATGAGCTGATTACAGCACATTGCCACACCCACCACACAACAAACCACCTCAGGGATGAGAAACTGAGTGCAGTCGTGTGGCAGGTGATACTTCAGCACCACATTAGTCCAAATGGACCATTGTGAGCTTTTTTCCAGTGGCTGGGATGCCAATCCTGCCACCAACCCCCAACGTTTCCCTTTTCCCCCTCCTTTCAGGGCTGGATGTAGATTAATGTCATACCCCGGACAAAGCAATTGTAGGTTAAGGGCCTTGCTCAAGGGCCCAATGGAGTAGGATCATTGCTAGCATTTGCAGGATTCGAACCAGCAACCTTTCAATTGCTGGCACTGATCCCTAGCCTCAGAGCCCCCACTCTGCCATAATAAAAAATGAAAACGCTATTCAGTTGTTGTCAAAGGTGCCATGTAATCACTCTGATGTTAATATTAAAAACTGAAATGTCAATGTATCCATTTTCTGAACACTTTTTTTTAGCCAGATTAGTGGGCCGGATTAAACCCTAGGCAGGTTAAGAGTTATAATGTTTTCTACGGAAATGTAACAATATATTCCCGGATTGTAAATGAATTACAGTATTTGTAGTATCCAGTGGTGAAATTCAACTTTGTGATACAGGCCCCAGTTCTCCGCTTAGTTTTAGGGTACCACAGTTTAAATAGACTTTCTTTGTTCACTTACATTTAGCCCAAACTACCCTAAATACAAGTTATCAACTGATCTTGTCTTGTGCTTACATGTAATCAGCCAACAGTGTGCCAGATTGCAGATACGCTCACAACAGACAAATATGCGTGTTACGGTGGCGTGACATGGTGCAGGCGGAAAAAGATGTGATGATCCATTGTGGCTCCAAAACAAAGGGTTTTTATTTAAGGGAAGAACCTCTCCTGGAGCCGACAGCTTATCGTGGTGGAGAGGTTTGTGTGTTCCAATGATCCCAGGAGCTAAGTTGCCCAGGGCTTTAAGCCCCTGGTAGGGTCACCCAAGGCAAACAGGTCCTGGGTGAGGAACCAGACGAAGTGCGGCTCACAAGACCCTTTATGATGAATACAAACATAGATTCACGTTTCCCCTTGCCCGGACGCGGGTCACCAGGGCCCCCCCATGGAGCCAGGCCTGATGGCGAGCGCCTGGTGGCCAGGCCTACACCCATGGGGCCTGGTCGGGCACAGCCCGAACAAGGCATGTGGGTCCCCCCTCCAATGGGCTCACCACCTGTAGGAAGGGCCATAGGGGCGGGGTGCAGTGTGAGTTGGGCAGTGGCCGAAGGCGGGGACCTTGGCGGTCCGATCCTCGGCTGCAGAAGCTAGCTCTAGGGACATGGAAT